TAAAAATACTTATTATTATTCATTGGGTTGATAGGCTCAATTTTTTATTTTTCAGACTCAAGTTCTGTGCACCTAATGAATCCTACCGCGTAAGCAGAGTCCGTATTCCAACTGATTTGATTTCTGATCATATTAGTTAGTCATTATTTCCCATTTCCGTTTGACATTACTATGTTGTTCTTAGTTAGCTATGTAATCACAGACAAGATTTCAAAAATTTTGACATGTGTGTTGAGATTTGAAATTATGTATCAGACCTTATATAATATTTAACTTTACTATGTTAATTTATTAGTTTCCGCATGTGATAGACTTGCGGAATTAGAATTATTCAAAACCAAACACCAATCATAAATCCGATTTTCAAACTGTGACAATAAAGTTTTGAAACTCTCAATAAATTTTTGTAAGCTTCTTCTCTCTCCGTCTGTGTGTGTGTGTGTGTGTGTGTGTGTGTGATAGGACATTAGCCAAAGAGTCACAAGGTTGGAAGAGTTTGCTGGTCGGGGAGAATTCATACTTGTGGACCAAGTATGTTGACCACTATTTTGTACAGGAAAATGAACCTAGCTAATTAATTAATTAATTATATTCAATTAAAATTTTAAATAAATATTAACTCGATATTATTTTCATTACCAATTGAATTATTTATTTGCTGATTTTATATTCTCAATGCAACTTTAGAAAACTCCATTTTTTGAAAAAATACTTAATATGTTAATAACAAGATTACTTTGAAAATTCTCACGATTTCAACTATTATATATATATATATATATATGGTCGTCAGGGCACTTCTATGTAAAAAAGTTTAAGACATTAATTTCTAATAAAAGAGGATCTTAATCATTTATCCAAATTTCCAAATAAATCCTTAATTTCAGGTCTAAAGTTGAGAGGATTCAAGTCCTTTGTGCAAATCTTATTTTTCTTTTCCTTCTTACTATTTAGGAGGGCAATTAATTTAAATTATATAATTATTGAAAATAATGAGGGCTATGGGTAGTTGTTGAAAGTCTCTGTATTTGCCCCCACCACCTCCTTCCCCGCCACCTCCAACGTCCCTTTTTGCTGGGTTGTCATCGTGGAAGTCATCCAAGAAGGAAAAGTCCTGGACTTCTCTTTCATTTATTGGTCCTAATCCCGTGTGAAACGAGGAAAATAACCAACGAGGTGGATAGAAATGGCTACGCGTGAATATGGGACCATCATTTATGTATTTATCTGCGTGAGCAATTAGAAAATTTTATCCACGTGATACATAAAAGTGGTATCAATGCGAGACGATTACTAATATATTTATCTCCATACTTAGTTAAAAAAATTTTTTATATATTTATATATTTAACAAAATATTTTTTTAATCCTCGTCACTATTCTATAAAGATAATATTATTCATGTTTTTATACCTGCATAAGCATTTAAATATAATTTATTTATATTTTATAATATATCAAACATATATTTTTATATATTACTTTTTGAATATATATTTTAATATATATACACACACATAGATATACATACATATTTATGTATACCGAGTACAAAATAGGTTGAATATTATAATCCATGTCTTTGTTTCTGAATTTGAAAAATTCTCCAAACCTGTTCAATCCCCATTTTACAATATTTATACCCAAATTTCATTAAATAAAATTTATGGATATGTATCAAATATGAATAAATTACCATTACTATGGTGGATCAAATTGGACAAATAACCAGTCGGAAATTTTTTGTGCGTTTGGAAGACTACCCCCAGCAAATTTCAATCCTTCTGGTGCAGGACATCATCTAAAAGTTTTGTTTTCAACAACTTTTCTTTTTTGTTTATTTTTATGCCTTTATTTTAGCTTATTTTTATTTTGGATCGAGTGGTTAACATTCTTTTTACAATCACATTAAATATTTAAATTTAAATAAAAATAAAAATATAAATGACTCTTATTTCATCCATTTTAATGGCAAATGGAGAAATCAAAAATCCATTTCGTAGCTTGGGAGATTTTAAAAATTATTTTTTTATCCGTCAAGCAAAGTATAGTTCAAATTTTAAATAAATCAAAAATTGATGTATAATTAATTTATATTTTAGTTTTTTAATTTAATATATTAAAAATTAAACCGTTTATGTTAAAATAAGTTGTGTTAAAATTGTGAAATTTAAACTAGGTTTTTAAATGAATAGGCTCGGTAGACCATCCCTGTTTCCGGCCCAACTAAGTAGGGCCCCGGTGGCCAGTACATCGCTTGGTCGTAGTTTTTTTTTTTTTTTTTTTTCCGAGGATTAAGCTCTCAGTCTATTTTTTAACTTGCCTAATTTATTTAATTTAATTTAATTTTTAAATTTTAGTTTAGGTAAATATAATTTTTAATTTTAATTTTGTATTATATATAATTTTATAATATTAATTTCTATTCTATTGAAATAAGATAGTGTTAAGCTAAAAGGACAAATTTATTTTTTTATATTACACATATTATATCAGATATAGATTTTTAAATATATTTCATAAAGATTACAGAAGATTCTTGTTATATAAAATTAAAATGTCCATTGCATTCAAAAAAATTAAAAAATTACTTATTTTTATCAAAAAAATTAACTTTTTGGATTTTTAAATTTTAATTCTTAAATTAATTACTGGATTCATGATTTAAAAAAAAACTAAATATTCCAGAAATTTTATTTGAAAAATTCAACTTTGAGAATCTAGTTTTCTTATTTATTTTTATTTTGAACTTTTATCTTACAACTTTTTTATTCTTATTTTAAAATATGACATATTGTAAAGAGCAAAAAATGTCAAAATACATTTTCAATTTTCATACTTGCAAATAAATTTTTGGGAGTAATCAAATAAAAAATCCATTTAAAAAAAAACTAGCAAAATCAAATTTTTATTAGGTTGATTATAAAAATAAAAGGATGATGCTTTTGAGTAATATTGTTATAATTAAATAGAAGATACTTTTTGAATCTTTTATCCTTGGAATTTTTTTTAAATACAAACTCACCCGCACCTTTTATATAAAAATCTAAAAAATTAATTTTCTGCAAAATTAAATCTAAAATTACACAAATTACATCCAAACACATATTGTACTAATTTTTCCAATTTTTAATAAATTTTACAACATCTACTTTTAATCCACTTTTATTTTAAATTCTAATTTTCAATTTTACAAAAACATTTAAAAATTGCGTCTAGAAGTCTCATCAACTATTCCCAAGTTTTCTATATTTCCACCAATCCTTAAGAAAAATATTCCAATCTCCTTTCTTTTCAACACACGCGTTGAAAATACTTACATCCCTTTTAGGAGACGAATTTTCTTTCCTTTCAAATGTTTCAACCATTACTAAGTTTTCTATATTTCCACCAATCCTTAAGCAAAAATTTTTTATACCCTCAAATTGTAAAAAAAAAAAAATTGAATTTTCGTGTCACAATTTCTCTAACCATGATTTTTTTTCATGTCACTATTATTACATAATGCAATCACATAACCAAACCTATTTTAGTTGAAACACCTCACTTTTTGGGGCATTTACTTGACCCGTAAGGGATACGCCATTCAATCAACGTACATCATTTTTCAAGATATAAATTGGACTAACAAGAAATGGCAAGCCCGGATTAGACTCTCTTTTCCCCCACCTAGAATTAGTGACATGGTTGTTGCCCCCACCACTTTGCGAGTCATGAATGCAAAAGCTTATGTTACCACAAGGCCTCTAACCAGTGATTTCTTATTTACTAAATTGACTTTCATACCACTTAAGTCAAAAGGAATATTTTATCAAATTAGTGCATGTTATTTCTTAAACTGAACTTTTTAGGTAGCTTTATTTAATATCAAAAGTTAAAATTAAAAAATAAATATTTGTCTAATATTTAAAGTAATATATTATTAAGGAAATAAAATATTCAAAATTATTTTTGTTTATTTTTCTACATATTTAGTTTAAAAGTATTTTTCATGTACTAATATTGTCATGCCACCTGGTACAGAATTCAAACAAAAATATGCAAGTTGGTTATATTTAATTTTCTTAAATTTTAATTTATTTTTAATATTTTTTTATTATAAACTAATTTGACCATTATCTAATAACTTTACTAGTTTGACCACGGCACGGAGTTCTAAAATATTAATACTCACTCGTAGAGATGCCTAAGTATCTGGATTACATAATTTAAGAATAACTAAAATTGGACTTAAAATGGTGAAACAAAGAGTAAGTTGAAATAAAAAGAAGTAGGAGAAGACTTTATAGTATTTTAAAAAAAATTAATTTTAAGTTATAAAATGAAGGAGAATATCTATAAACAATAAAAAAAAATGACAATCTGGCCAAAAAAAAGGTAGAAGAAACCAAAAGCAAAGAAAAAAATAAATAAATGTGGAGACGGGACATGAGAAGAGCCCATGGGGAAGGATCAGCAGGTTGCTGAAGTGTGGGTAGGAAGGTCGCACGTGTCGCCTCCTCCTTCACTTACTGAAGTACTCATGGTTTTAAAAGCAGTTACCACTTAACGGGTCGGGCAATCATGGCACAATCCAACACTGTGGAGTTGGTAGAGCTTTGCAGGGTGGCTCCGCCGTCTGACTCCGCCGCCGAGGCTTGTATTCCTCTCACATTCTTTGACATCTTCTGGTTGAAGTTTCCCCCCACCCAGCGCATATTCTTCTACAATCCTCCCACCTAATTAGCGACACTAATTTCTCAGACACCGTCCTCCCTAAACTTAAGCAGTCCCTCTCGGTCACGCTCCGCCACTACCTTCCTCTTTGCGGAAACCTTACCTGGCCACAAGACTCCACCAACGGCCCTGTTCTTCAATACACCCAAGGTGATGCAATTTCACTCACCGTAGCCGAAGCGGACTTCGATTTCCACCATCTCTCCGGCGATGACTTCCGCGACCCTGGAGAATTCCGCCCTCTATTACCCGACTTGCCGGCGCAGGAAAACCGAATCTCGGCAATGGCTCTCCAAATCACTCTGTTTCCAAGCGCAGGGTTCACAGTTGGCTACACCGCGTATCATTGGGCTCTAAACGGAAAAAGCATAGCCATGTTCATGCATTCGTGGGCTTCCATTTGCCGGAGCGGTGAGGACTCCGGTTTGCTACCGGAGCTCACGCCAGTCTACGACAGGACCTGTATCAAAGACCCACTGATCTCAAAGCAACTTACTTAAAGTTCTGGTCGGATCTACCCAAGTCAGTCGAGGCAAAAATTGGAGTCTCAGCCGGCGACGCAATGATGGGCACATTTAGGTTGTCAAAGGAAAACATTGAGAGCATGAAGAAGAAGTACGATCATCAGGTGACTAGTTTCATGGTAGTAACTGCGTACACATGGGTTTGCTTGGTTAGAGCGAGGGATTGAGTGAGAAGAGAACTCACTTCGTGTTCAGCGTGGATTGTAGATCTCGCATGGAACATCCCATCTGTTCGACGTATTTCGGCAACTGCCTCGCCGTTTGTTTTGTGGCTGCAGACTCGAAAGTATTGATAGGGGAGGAAGGGGTAGGGATGGCAGTGAAGGCGATTGGTGAAGCTTTAGGACGTTTGAAAGAGGGAGTTCTGAGAGGAGCAGAGGCATGGCTCTCCTACGGGTCGTCTTTGTCTGTGCAGAGAGAGAGAGTATTTTCCCTCGCAGGGTCGCCGCGGTTTGAGCTGTACAACGTGGATTTTGGGTGGGGAAGGCCGACGAAGGTGGAGGTTGTATCGATTGCTAAGAGTGGAGCTTTCTCACTCTCTGATTCAAGAGATGGGAGTGGAGGAGTTGAGATTGGAGTGGTGTTAAAGAATAGTGAAATTGAAGCCTTTTCCTCTCTGTTTGCAGATGGTCTCTCAAAGTTCTGATTTCATTGCATTAACCCCGGAGGGAGATCCGACGTAAACTATTCAAATAACACTTTGGAGTGGCAATTGAAATGTACGTTGATGTAAATTTCTATTACCAACAATTAAATAATCGATCATGTACTTTAGTGTCGTCTAAAAAAATTATAATGATGATTATTTTTATGGGTAAAAATCTTATTTATTACTGATAAAAATTTTAAATTTAACAAATTTTTTTTAATAAATTTAAATAAAAAATTTGATAACAGTTATTGTGACTAATATTTCTACTCACTAACATAGAAATTACTAAGAAAGTATAGAAAGAAATGCTAAAAAATATAATCAAAGTACTAATTAATTAAGAATAAATTCATAAAAATATTAAAAATGCCATAAAAATATTAATTAAATTTATAATTTTAATTTTTCAAACTAAAAATATACAAAAAAAATTTAAAAATATTATCAAAATCATAACTCATAAAAAATACATTAAAAATTTGGGTTATTTTAGGGTCGATCAACTCCTGTACAGAATATATATCAATCATGTTTTTATGAACTATTGGATAAATATGAAAATCCATCTCAACCATTGAAACGGGTGTGGTATACATATACCGAGTACAGTTTTTTTTTTTTAATTAGTACAGTTATTTTTTGAATGTTGTACTTAATAGAAAGACAAAATTAGCCTTTTAATTTTTTTAGAAATATTAATAAATTGTATATATTGTATGAAGAAATATATTTTATATTAATAAAAATTAGGAAAATTACTAGAAAGGAAAATTAAAAAATAAAAAATTACTCTAAGGTCCTAAATTAAAAATATTTTTAGAAAAGGCCATAAACAAAAAATTACTTAATTAAGGTGATTCTTATACCCAAAAATACCCCCGACCCTTATATAATGGTTCATTCTCACAATTTCAACTATTATATATATATATATATATATATGGTCATCAAGGCAATTCTATGTAAAAAAGTTTAAGATATTAATTTCTACTAGAAGAGGATCTTAATCATTTATCCAAATTTCAAAATAAATCCTTAATTTCAGGTATAAAGTTGAGAGGATTCAAGTCCTCTGTGCAAATCTTATTTTTCTTTTCCTTCTTACTATTTAGGAGGGCAATTAATCTAAATTATATTTGCCGTTGTAATATATATAATTGTTGAAAATAATGAGGGCTATGGGTAATTGTTGAGAGTCTTTGTGTTTGCTCCTCCCAACTTCCCCCCCCCCCCCCCCCCCCCAACTTGCATCGTCCCTGTTTGTTGGGTTGTCAATTAAATGAATCATGGAAGTCATCCAAGAGGGAAAAGTCTTGGACTTACTTTTTCATTTATTGGTCCTAATCTCGTTTGAAACGAGGCAAAGAACCAACGCGGTACGTAGAAATGGCTCAGCGTGAATATGGGACCATTACTTATATATTTATCTCCGTACTCAATCAGAAAATTCTATCTATGCGGTAGATAGAACTGGCATGAATATGGAATAAATATTAATATTTTTATCTTTACCTTTAATTGAAAAATTCTTCTCTATATCTATTTTTGTGTCTAACAAAATATTATTTTTAATCCACGACACTATTTTATTCTAATCCTAGTGTTGATCAAAAATTCAACCTTAAAATCATGACAATTACTGGATTCAAGATAAAAAAAACTAAAAATTCAAGAAATTTGATTTCAAAAATTCAACTTTGAAAATCTAGTTTGCTTATTTATTTTTTAAAATATTTATCTTACAAATTTTATATTTTTATTTTAAAATGTGGCGTATTGTAAAAAGAAAAAATGTCAAAATACATTTTTTATTTTTATATTTACAAATAAATTTTCCAGAAGTAATTAAATAAAAAATATAATTTAAAAAAATAGTTAAATCAAATTTTTATTAAGTTGATTCTAAAAGTAGGAGGAGGATACTTCTGCTGCTACGAGTAATATTATTATAATTAAATAGAAGATACTTTTTAGATCTTTTACCCGGAATTTTTTAAATGCAAACTCACTCAAACATTTTATATAAAAATCTAAAAAATTAACTTTCTTCAAAATTAAATCTAAAATTACATAAATTACATCCAAGCACATATTGTACTAATTTTCAAAAATTTTAATAAATTTTGCAACAACTACTTTTAATTCACTTTTATTTATTTTGATTTTAAATTTTAATTTTCAATTTTTACAAAAACATTTGAATACCGTGCCTAAAAGTCTCATCAACCATTCCTAAGTTTTCTATATTTTCACCAATTCTTATGAAAAATATTCTCATCTCTTTCTTTTCAATACAAGCGTTGAAAGTACTTACATCCTTTTAGGAGACCAATTTTCTTTTCTTTTAAATTTTTTATTTATTCTTCTTATGCACCTTCCCACCCAAACATAAGGTAACTTCCTTCCAATTGCCCTAATTTGGACTATTCAAGAAGCCCTTGAGAAAATCCTTCGGACAAGAATCCCTTTCATTTCTAGGTCTCCTTTGGCCAATTCGAACGACCAAAGATAGGGGACTAGTCCTGGAATTTTGCCTTAAATGAATCGTGGAAGTCATCCATGAAGGAAAAGTCTCGAACTTCTCTTTCATTGATGGGTCCTAGTCACGTGTGAAACAAGGAAAGGAGCCAACGCGGTAGATAGAAATGGCTACGCGTGAACATAGGACCATTATTTATATATTTATCTCCTTACTTAATTGAAAAATTCTTCTCTATATCTATTTTTTTATCCAACAAAATATTATTTCTAATCTCCATTACTATTTTACTAAGATAATATTATTCATGTCTGTGTACCTTGTAAAAACCCAATAAAAAAAAAAAAAAAAAAAATCTCGACGTGATCCGAACGTCCACGAACTCACGAAAGGAAAGCTATCAATTCGTGATTTCCAGAACTGTTTCGATCAAATTTCTCTTTATAAAGTCGTTCGGCTGAGACTAATTAACCAAAGCCCTCAATTTATTTCAAAAATTAGATACAGACATTCACAAAATTTGTAGAGCTTCGTACAAACTGTTCGTCGGCCATTCCAGAAATTTTAGAGTTTCTGACTCGATTAAATCCAACCGAGAAGAGTCACCTAGCCATTTCAATCGAAGTCTGAAGCTTCCATCTGCAAGTTGATCGGGTTCCAAGTAAGATTTGTTTTCATTTTTTTTCTTTCTGTTTCAGTGATTGCAGGAACCGGGTGAAAGGGATGAAACCCGGTTATGGGTTCCGGGTCCGTACTCTTGATGAATAAAGGGTTGGGCCAATGGGCCAAGCCCTGTTTGAATTTGGGTAAATGGGCTTCGGGCCAAATGAATATTGTGAGGCTGGGCCCTGAACCAGGCCCAGCCCAGTAAACCAACAGGGTATGGGGTCCGAATCTGGAATTCTGGATCCAATCCGACCAGTAAGAAATAAAATAATAATATAATAGAAAAATGCCAGAAAATGGAAAACCAGCCGGTTCAGTGGCTTCCGGTCCGGTTCCTGGCCGGTTCAAAGTATCCTTACGAAGGTAATTTAATTACCTACCTGACCTTAGGCCGGTTCAGATGAAAACCGGCCGGTTCAATAGTGAACCGGCCGGTCCAATGTTAAAGAAAATTCAAAGAAATAGGAAAAAACCCCCGGTTTATTGTATTAAGGCCGGTTCAGGGCCTTTGCTCACCGGTTCAGTAAAGCTAAATCTGGTTCAATGAATTTAAGGACTGGTTCCACGTATTTCAAGGCCGGTTCAGTAGGAATAAGCCCGGTTCCATGAGTTTTATAGCCGGTTTAAAGGATTTAATGCCGGTTTAATGGTTTTGAGGTTGAATTAATGGGTTTTTATCTTGGTTCAGTGGTTTTCCTCATTAGTTCAATAAGTTTCAAGTTCGGTTCAATATGTAAAAGGTCCGGTTCAGTATTATATCGATCGATTCGAGACTTTAAGATTCCCGAAATGGCTTAAAACATGAAAAAAATCAAGAATAGGGTTGGGTTTTTGATAATAAATTACTTTTTAATTAATTTTGAGAAATACTACGTTCTAAAATGAATATTTTGATTATTTTTAGATTAATTGGTTGACTTTCGGGGAGCCGAATCGCCGAAGCTCGATTTTCGTGGTTCTCGGTTTTAGTGAGTAATAGTAGATATTTATATGTTTAAATTGCTTTTATACTTGTTTAAATTCCTGTTCTTATATAAATTGAAATTATGTCAGCTACTATTCAGTTTGAACCAAATTGTTAGAAAAATTCGAGGGACGTATATGTCATTATCTGATTTGTTGGAAAAACTTATGAAACTCCTGATTTCGAACACTGACATACTTTAGGCAACTTGATAATTGTTAACTTATTCTGTTAAACTTTGATAGTTGATTTTAAGGGAGTACCGAACTGTTAGAACACTGTAGCTAACGGCAGTAGGCGTTAAACTGGGTGCACCTTGACTTGTATCCCCAGCTAGCAGGGGTGGTGCTAGACTATCACGTGTGGCTGACGTGGTAGGCCTGTTTATTGATTTACGGCAGACTTTGAGTCGCCATCCTGATATCTGTATATCGGCATACGATGAGTTTGCCGTCCTGTTTCTGTATGGTTCTCAGTGTCGAACTCTCTAACTTGTGTGAATTGAAAATTATGCTTTAAGACAATAAATGTTTGATATACGTCTCTCGCATGTAAATATGTATTATTATTCACTGGGTCAATAGACTCATTCTTTTAATTTTTCAGACTCAGGTTCGACTTTACCGACGGACCCGACTGCGTGATAGGAGTCGATCGATCTTGACCATCTGATTCAGTTCTCGAGATAGTAGTTAGTTTCTATTTCATTCTGATGTACTGTTTCGTTTCACTTAGTTAGCTCTGGGATCACAGACAGGTTTTTAGTGTAGAGACATGTTTTGATTATTGTTTCGTACTTCAGATTTTGATTTGGAAATTTATGATTATTTATGAAAATTTTCAGTTTCGTGTTTGATAGGCTTGCTGGGGTAGAATTCGTTCTAA